AGTTTAGAGAACTGTTGGGGAATTCTTTCTCTGCAAGGCAAGGAATGTTTGCTTAATTTATTTTTTATTTAGACTTTCATGTTTACACATAAATTAACACGTATTTCATTTTATCTATCTTTTTCAAATGTCTTGACAATTAAATCAAGTTTAAATATATTAAGATCTTGCTCTATTATTTCAAATAGACTAAAAAAGAATCTCCTTTAATTCTTACTCATCTAATGAATGCATGATTCCCTTTTAACTAAATTCGGAAAGATATAGCTTCACTCCCCAGATCATTGAATATCAAGACTTTCCTTCATCGTAACAAGTCTAAAGATATCATAAATACTTTTACTAATTTATGTCCCAAAAATTGGCAACCGTCGACTTTGGAAAGAAACACTTTCAAATTTTACTTATTACTTCCACACCAAGTTCATTTTTTTACTCGTGCTGTTATCAAAGATTATCCTTGTAATCCTTCCTCTCAAGAAACTAATTAACACCGTTTTATAATGTTTGGATGCCCATATACTACTCTAGTGATTTTTGATAATAAAATGTTCAGAAATCTCTGCTTGCTCTATATTAAATAACTGAAAATGGGCGCAGGCCCAAATAATTTTTAAAAATAGGTGCTGGCCTAATTTAATTTATTTATTATAATAGCGCTGAGCTACATGGTAATAAATATTCTAAAAAAATTGTTTCCCATTTTTGTTATACCTTTTCTTCTTGAATAAAATTTATGAATAAATATATATACATTTATTTTAAAAAATTAATGAGATATGCGGACTATAAAGTCCTAAACTAATACATTCACTTTCATTTTACCCTTGATATGTTAACCCCACTCTTACAGAGTCTTTGAAAAAAGTTATATCTACATACTATTGATTTATAATACTCTATTTTAAATCATTTAAATTTATACCCCTTGGATCATAAAATACTAATTGATAAATAAACCAATATTTAAATTTTAATTAACTTCATTATTCATTGAAATTACTGTTTTAAATTATTATCAATGATCAGATTCTTATTTTTAAGGATAAATTTATTAAACTCTTTAGAAGATGACAATTTACATATTTTTTTCAAAAAGGTTTCTTAGGTATGTTTTTAGCATTTTCTTATTTCTAAATAAATTAGGAAAGTAATTTGTCTAATTAATTTTTATTGCATAATAAAAAAAAATTCGCCACAGCAAGACAATCAGTCGCCAACATAAATTAGTCACCATTTAAACGTTTCTTTTTTTATTACCATTAAATGGTGGAAAATTCTATATTATGTAAAAATATTAAATTTTTCTTTGGAAATTTGAAACAAACGGAAATATGCCTGGAGAACCCTTTTGGAAATAAGAATTGTTTAGAAGTTGCCATAAACATAATTTAACAAAATGAGCAAGATGTAATGAATGTGATAATAAAAGATTTCTAATAAAATAAATTAAAAATTTGCAATAAAAAGGTAGATTATATTTTCCTTAGGTAAACGAAATTTAAGAAGGGAAAAATTTTTGAAAAAATAGGCATTTTCATTCATAGTTATATTTTAAAAACTTTACATATAATTTTCTTTGAATACATTTTGCATTGCATCTCAATAAATAAACAATTTCCAAGTCAAAATGATATATCTACTTTTTAACTCATACGCTATATCAACTGATTAATTAGTATTTGTATAATTATTAATATTAATTTTAAAATAATGTTATTTAATAGTTTTGAAAATTTTTGTTTCATTATATCATAATTGTAATCTATGGAAGTTTTTAATCTTTAAAATCGATTATCTTATTTTTTTATAATTATATTGTGATGGTTAGGATTTTTTACAAAAGAGATATAGAAAATATATTAATTTTAAATCATAAGATTCTATTTTATCAAAGCGGCAATGTAGGTAAAGCTAAATGGCTATTAGCAGAAGGTCAAAGATATATTTTCAAATCAAAAATAAAATATGACTCGTGAGCAGAATTGGAATTGGTCTAACCAGACTTAATTAAAAAAAGGGAACAATTTTTAAAAAATAGAATTTTAAAAAATAGATTTTAAAAAAAATGAAATTAACATTTAGGTAGTTAGCAGAGTTGTTAAAAGATACTTTTTAAATGGATCTAGATACAGATATACCATCTAAAAATTTATCTAGATACAGGTTCTAAAAAGTTATCTAACAGATACAATTTAAAATGTATCTAGATACAGATACAGTTTTTATTATACTCTTAGATAAGGTTTGAATAAACCTAAATTAGGATTCTAGTGTAAAAATTCATAAAATGATCTAAAAAATTTATTGACTCGATATCACATTTATCAAAATATAACTAAAATAATGATTTTTAGATATTAATATAATATATGATTAATATAAACAATTATTATATATCATTAATAAAATAATATAATATATGATTAAATGATTATAAATAATTATTAGATTTCAGTAATAAAATATTTTCAAAATTTTGGTCATTAAGACATCCTCGTTTATCTGTAAAGACATTTTTAGCTATACTAAAAAGTCTTTCAACAGGGGCGCTGGAAGGGATTGTGGTGTTATATTTAATGAATAACATTTTTATATCAGGATATTGTTTAAAAATACTAAAATCTATCTCGGCATCAGTAGCGTAGCTAGGAATTTTCCTTAGAGGGGGTCCATACATATAAAAGCCTGGGGGGCTTCGCCCCCAGACCATATCCTTCCACAAACATCAAAACCAGATATTATTGGTATTTATTTGATATAAAGTCACCACTTGTAAGTCTTTTGAACGTATAATCTGAAAATAAATTTTTGCTCTGGGAGGGGTCCAAACCCGAAAACCACTCCCATAGCTACGCCACTGCTCGGCATTCATTTTTGAAAAAACTATTTAAAATTTGTTGATTATCAGAATTTAAATCATTAACAATCATATCTCCTGCTGTGGGATACTGAAAAAAATCGGATATTAAATTATTGGTTTTTTTCACAGGTTTATGATTCTGATATTCCAAAATCCTGAGCAGTAGTATAAAGATCTGATATTGATATTGGTGCAACTGTTTCTTCATCTTTCAGATCATCTATGGATTCACTAATATTTTCAATTGGCTTGAAAACTTTATCATAAATAAGTAATATTATGTTTATATTTATAATAAAATAAACCTAAAAGACTTAATAAAGTTTCTGGCATTATTAGTAATGCGCTTTGAGATTTTATTTTGTATGCAATAGTCCTTTGCTATATCTTGTAAATTTTTTGCTATTTTATCATATGTATGACTACCAGTCATTCTTTTACAAGCCAACGCTACATTTTTTCTTTCCAAACTTGTTGGATCTATATAGTGTGCAGTGACTCCTATGTATGAACTAAAAATAACATTTCTAAAACTGCTCAAATAATTTGTTTGTAATTAAATAATTATACAAATTTAAATGTTAGCTATACCGGCGATAGGCACTCCAACAATCTGCTGTTGTACATATTAACGATGGTTCTATTAGACTTTTAATGATTTCTTTTTTTTCATTCTCCCATCTTTGGGAGATTCTAGAAACCACTGTCTGTCGGCAAATTATATTTTTTTATAGAACTAATGTTTTGATCATTTTTATAAATGAAGGATTTTCAACAATTGAAAATGGCTGAATGCTATCTATAATAAAATCAGTTATTAAATAATCTAAAGTGGTTTGGGTTAAAGTCTGAGGTCTCTTGGGAAAAAAATCAATGGACGATGAGCCTAGTCCAATATTTTCTTTAATAGGTTTTTTCTACTTCCCTTTTTATTTGGATTAAGAGTGTTTGATGTTTTCTCTTAAAATTTAAAATTGTAAACATTTATTTAGTATCTATACCCTTAAATGTTTTACAATGTTGCAAGTTGAGGTAATGCTAACTGAAATTTGCATATTTTTTGGTAGACATAGCAAACATTTTACTAACATAGATTTGTTTTCTTTATTTTGAGATATTATTTTAAAATATGGTCTATAAATTGGCCATGGAAGAATGTTGTCATTTTTGTCATCAATATTAATCTTAAAAATTAATATAATAGAATGGAATAAAATAAAATACCAATTCCATTACAATTAAAAATGGCAAATTCCTTGAGATGGATTGTAATATCAGAATTTGCTTGTTATTGATAACACGGACATAATATTTAATTAATATTTATATATTCTTTTTTATATATAAGTTTTAATATTTTACATATATATATAATTTTTTAATATATATATATTAATGTTAAGTTATATGCTCATATGAAATAAAATAAATTTTACATTCAAGTATTTTTATATATAATATAAAAAAGCGTTAAATAGAAGTATATCAAAATGTATCTTAAAAAGTATCTAAAACAGATACAGATACCTTTAAAATAATATCTAGATACGGATACTTTAATCAAAAATCTATCTTGATACAGATACCACATTTTTATATCTAGATACTTTAACAACTCTGGTATTTAGATATGAAAGTTGAGATTTAATGGTATTAGATTTAATTAGAGTTCAAGATTAAGTTAAAATTGATTTTAACAAGGAAAATATAATTTAAACATGAAGATTATACGAAAATGAAATATTATATAGAACAAAATATTTATTTTATGAATGTCAAATATAAATATTTTTGGCATTCATTGAGGTAAATTTAGACGTCTAGCACAAGCGTGTACATTTTTTACCTCCTTAACAAAGTATCTGTTGATAAAATAATATACATTATATTCTATTGATTTGATTTATTATATTTTATATACATGTACCATAAATATAAATGAAATTTCGAGAACAAAAATTATTTTTCATATAATATAAAAATCAAAAGCGACATTTTACAGAACTAATATATTATAAATAGTGAATATTTATAATAATAACTTATTAACATTGTAAATATGGATGAATTTTAAAAAATAGATATGAATCAACAGGAACTCAAATAGATTAAATAAATGGTTTTGTATTTTTATTACTTAATTAATATAACTCTAAGGCGTCGTTTTCATGTAGAATATTTGTTTCATGTTTTTTCAGGTGTCTTTCTAGATTAGTAAATTGTCCGAAAGATTTCCCGCACATGCCACATGGATAAGGTCGCTCTCTATTGTGAATATTCCTAATATGTCTTTGCAAATTGGATGATATACTAAAGGATCTCTCACAATATTGACATCTATGATATCAATTTTTATATTTTAATTATGAATTAATTTATATTTAAAATATTAAGTTTTTAACATGAGACAAATCGCCTATATAAAACGATCTGTATAAACAATAAAATTTTACTTATAAGAGTGAATGGTAAATTCATTCTCTCAATTAACTAGTGGTCAGTATAGTTGGGTAATATATAAATGTCGGCTAATTCGGCTCAATCTTCAGGCGATTGTCGGAGAAAATCAGTTAATATTAAGGAGTTTTATTTATATTAGTTTCTTTCAAATTTGTGCCTATTTTTAAGAAAAAACCCCCAGGCCAATGATAGTTATGAACTAAAAGCTTGGTATAACCGATTTTTGTAGTCGACTAAAAATTGGCGCAAAAGACTAAAAATATACCCAACTATACTAGTCACATATAAATAATCCTATATTATTTTAAAAAATCATAAAAGCTCAGTGATATAACTATAAGGGAAGTAAAATGGAATTCCCCCCCCCCTAATGCAAATAATTCGAAAATGTTTTAATACTTCTTAAAAAATTTTTATACACTATAAAGGATTTATCGTGGCAAAATATTTAGACCATATTTTTGAGGGAATTTTTCCCCTTCTTCTAAAAATTTTATTTTATATCAATTATATAAACGAAACCTTATTAAGTAAAAATTGACTCCTTTAAATTTTCATAAAATATTGAATGCATAATATCTATACTATTCGATACTGTATTATTTAAATGCTAAATGTTCATAATAAGCATTAATTAATCTTAAAATTCAGCAGCAATTATTTGAAACATAGGAACAATTATTATTTGACTTTTATTTTAAGATCTGAAATTCAAAATATTTTCTAATTTTTTTTTCTTAAGAGAAAGAATTATTAATTCTTTTGCTGAGCTTTTTAATATCGCCAATCCAATGTGCTTTTCAATGAAGTATAGACCAGGACCTGCTTGTGGTTCTATAGTAATATTAACTTTGTTACTTAAATATTTTTTAATATAAATTTTTGCGATTCTCATAATCTCAACCAAATCCATATCATTTTTTTAAAAAATATTGCATAAAGTTTCCAATCAAAAAGTCGTCTATCATATTTAATCTAATAATGCATCGGCTGAATATATGGTTTAGGTCATTCCGATGTTACTTAAAGGGCAATCAAAATAGATTCTTCTATATCCAAAGATACTGTAACGCTTGATATCCAAAGCTCCATCTTGTCTATTTTTTGCAGTTTCTTTTTTCTTGTACATGAAAAGTCTCAGAAACAATTCTATTTAGCAAATTCTGCTCTTTGAATATTGAATATTTTATAACACTCCAGAAATCTTGAAATCATAGTTATTAGTAGAGATAAATTAAATAGAATTCATTAAGATTTTTTTAAAAAAAATTTATTTTAAATTCTCGCGGGGTAAAATATTAATATGCAAGTAAGAAATATTTATATTAATTCTAACTTTTTGCTAAAATTTAAAATAGAATATCCCCCTTTTAAAATAGAATATTTCGCAATTCACAAAATTTTTCTATATTTTTTCAATAATTTTTACTGGAATCAGGGTAAAAAGCCTTTGATTGTTTTCGAATGATCGTATTTCTAACACTATCCAAATTTAACATTTGATACATCGTTAAATATGGTAATATATTACTCGTCTATACTTCAAATTCAAATTAATATGATTATTTATTTAGTTTATTCTCATCTTTTGATGTGTTGTAAAATTTGGCTTCTTCTCATAGAATAAAATGCCATTATATGAGGACAAATATATTCATGAAAACATGTGATACTATCATGGAACTCCATTCAGAATATATATATTGAATTAGAATAATGAGAATGATTTTTCTTAAGATTCGTTCTTATTTGTAGAGGTAATTTATATTGAATTTAATTAAATTTAAAAAAAACGTATTTTTAATTTGAAAGTAATAAGATATAATTTTTGAAATAAAGATGATTGAGAATCTATGGCACGAGAAGCGCAGCGATTGGAGCATGTTAGAAGCATTCTTAATATTTTAAAACAGTTCTACTAATTTCTTCATAGATGATCAAAATTTATTAATTTTTAGTTTTATATATAATTAAAATATTATTAATTTATTAGTTCAGGGCCGTAACTATGAAATGTATTTTCCAGGCCATCCACAAGAAGATTTTTGTCCATTACTCCCAAGGAGAAAAATTTACACATTTGTTTTTTGTCTTTCAGGTGAATTATTGTTTAAAAAGTATAAATTATTATATATTACCCTTATTATACCCATATTAATAAAAATTATTACCCTACCTTAAATCGTGTCAACTAAATGATGTGTGTAATGTATATAATTAATTTTTTAATTTATTTATATTTTTTAGCTAAAAAAACTTGCAAACATTGGACCAATACAATTCTTATATTGGTACAAAATGTTATATTTTATTTATAAAAATGGTCCTACGGTCGTCAGTTTGATGATATTAAAAAAGATAGAGGGTTTAGATTTCATTTTATATATTATATGTGATGCTTATACTTAGTAGTCCTAATCCGGACGAAATTAATCGAACATAAATTCTTTACAATTTCACGATAAAAACATATTTTTGAGTATAAAATATTAGTGAGTTGATATATATCAAATATATTTTGTCGAAAGGTGTATATCATAACTATCTGTTATAGAATTTGGCAACCACTAAAATTTAGAAAATTTGGTGGCTTAGGGTTGTCGCACCACCTGCCCTACGCTAATCGCTGCCTATTCCCCTAAGCAAAATTCACCTTATTAGGTTACCAAATAATTTTACGAAAAATTAGAATTGTTTTAGTTTGAAAATTAATATATAAGAAAAAAGGTTACCAAGCATTATTGTTTATTTTAAAAAAATTCTCACTGCCCTTCCCACTTGAAATAAGGCTGGGCCACTGTAATAGCTATTATGATATTATATATTAAATTCACATACTTATATGGTTGTTCTCCGGTATGAGTTCTTATATGTCTAGTTAAGTTAGCAGAACGAGGAAATATTTTTCCACAATAACAACAATTGTATTTTTCTAAACAATGGCTGGTCACTACTACATTGCTTTTAGAGCTAAGACTATGAGTGACAATTTCACTTGCGTGTAACGGAAATTTTTCCACAGATATATTATCCAACTGATGTTGAGTTTTATCGTCGGTATTGTCACGAGTGTGGGCAGAAAAAGTTATTTCATCTTTGTTAGTGGCTGTAGAATTTAGATTGGAAGAAGTAGTAAGAACTTCTATCAAGTTTTCAATCTTAAAATTATTTTTAAATCCATTCTTTGACATTAGGTTATCATTAGAAGTTAATAACGATTCGTCAAAATCGTAAGCGTTAATCGCGAGCACTTTATTGTGATCTTTTTCTTCTAAATTTTTTTTCCCCCAGCGGCATTTGTTTTTTTGATTTGAAATTAGAGAATAAGGAGTCTTGATGTCTCTGTTATTAATTAAATTTTGCATGTGATAAAAATAATAATAATCCAGCATGGAAGGTGGTTTATTATTATTATTCAAAATTGGTTTATTACGTTGTAACGGCGGAAAATTATTTTTTGGAAGGTTATTATAGTAACCTTGTGTAGGTAAAGTCGGAATAATTTTATGATTGCTCCTTCTCCATCTTTCAATGTGATTATTGTGGCAGCATATAGCATTAGTGAACTGTTGTTTATCATAGCAATTTTTGTGGCCATCAAAAGTGACCGATTTTTCATTCAAATTTAAGGGATTTAATGGTAAAGCGTTGAGATATTTTTGATGCATTTGATATTCAAACGAGTCAACATTAAGAGTCGGTGGTGGGAATATAGCATAAAGATTTTTTGATGTACTTATATATTGCTTTGTGGAAATTTGACTGGAATCAGACTTTTTTGTGGATAAGTCCAAAGGTAAATTATTGCTATCCTGAGAAATTATTCTATTTGCGACTGGATTAAGTGGGTGATTATTAGAAGACCGGGTATATTGTGAGCTACTACATCTTATTTTTTCATCTGGGGAACTTTTTGAGCTGACTTTTCTTAATTTTTTATTTTCTATTATGTTAGGATAATACGTATAATTTATTGGATACGTAGTTGAGTCATAATTATATTTGTCAAATGAACGCAAAGTATCATCCCTAAATTCGCCTCTATTATTATTTTTCAGCTTATGATTAGAAAATATCGGGAAAATTGAATTGGAATATATATTGCCATTCTCATTCGAGTTCAAAGTTGTCCCATTTATCCATTCATCGATATCGTGCCGCATATACATCTTAGAAATAGGATTTAAATTTGGTATTTTATTGACCATCAAACTTCTAAAATTATTATTGCATAAAGAAGTTTTAATATATTCATAATCATCGTATTCCTTATTAAACTTTACAATATTTTTCTCGCCCAAATTTTGTGAAGTATGCTTTATCTTATAATCTTCAACTGAGATTCGATTCGTCACATCATTTGGAATGTATTTCGAAAAAGATGGACTAAAATTTGGTAAATAATTATTATGAATATCGTTGTTAGATAAAGTTATTGTAGAGGATGAGTTAATATTTGGAATACTAATGGTGTTTATTTCCTGGTTATCCCCATTTGTAGTCATCTGTATGTTACCGATTCCACAATTAGGATTAGGCGAGTAGCTACAACCAATTAGTTCATTATTGTCTTGCAATAACTCCAATTTGATTATCGACGAATGACGAGAACTCAAAAAATTTGAATATAATGGTGAGTAGTTAAGACTGTATCTTTTAACACCATTGGTCTTCAAAATTAATATGGCTCTTTTGAGTGATTTTTTGTAACCGTTCTTTTTTGAATGATTCCAAGTTCGTTTGACTTTTAAAACAAATTTTTTTTTAATCATACCCCTTGTTGCCCGCGATATTAAACTATTTCCTGTTTTTATTATTTCATCTGACTTTGTTGTCGTCTCGTTAAATTTTTTCTCTTCATTCTTTAATTGGTTGATATGATTCGCGGAAGATTCCGCTGCTTGTGGAGCTATATTTTTGAGATATAAATTTTTAGAGAAACGTTGAGTTTGAGTATTAATAGGATAATTACAATAGTAAAATGAATAAGGATAAGGATGAAGGTAATAATACGGAGGGATATTAAGGCGATTAAAATAATTTGAAGCAAATTTATTTTTAACGTTGTATAACTTTAAGGAATTTTTAAGCAGAGTCTTAAAAGATTCTTGAGTGATATCTTTACGTATAGAATCATGTAATTCGTGACTATGGTGATCAATCATCCACTCGTGTTCATGTGATTCACGTTCAACAACGTGACTTGATTTTTTATCGGAATTAAATGCTAATTTTGTTATATCATTAACTTCTTTATCATTTTTGTAAAAACAAGTTGGAGTTTCTGGTATAGGCTCCATAATCCCGGGAGAAGAATAAGATACATAAGCTTTTATCTCCTGGGGTAATACGGACCGCCTTTTTCTACCTCTTTTTACGGGCATGAAATCGTTGTTTCCATGAGGAAGCGGCAAATACCCCATTTTTTTGCAATCGGAGTGCATTCGTTTGTGCCTGCAAAGGTTAGAGAATTGGGTATATGATTTATTGCAAATAGGACATCGAAAAGGTTTGAAACTGTTGTGTATGTGAGCATGTTGTTTCAACCCACTGGCCGTGCTAAAACTTTTTCCGCATTCGTTGCACAAGTGGACCATCAATTTTATTTATTATAAGCCTAACACTTGATCGTTATGAATCTTCTTCTTGAAGAATTAAGAATTTTTTTTGTTTCCCTAAAAAAATAGAAAAATAAAATTACCAATTAAATTGCTTATAATTTATTTATTATTGAAGATTGGTTGAAAATATATTTTCAAAACCAAAAAAAAACAATATTAATGAGCAAATAGCATTTTTATCTTTTTTTTTCCTCTCAAAATAAAAATGTGAATGATAGACGGGTTATCAACAAATTCATCTTTATTTTTTTATTATATTTTTAATGAATATTTTTCAAAAAATTAATTCAATGTCGCGTTCTGAATATTAGATTAATATTTTATTCTGTCTGTCAAAATGTAATGCGGGTGTAAAAAAATATTATTTCACAAGTTGGGAACACTACGCAATACTGACAAAATCATTTAAAAAATTAGCTTAATCACAAAGAAGGTTGCATATATTTTTTTATAAATATATTAGAGGTTTTAAATGTAATATTACTTTTTTTAAAATATAATTTATATTAGAAAGCCATTTTTCTCTATTAAGTAATTCTTATAAATTTATATGCTCAAAAATATAACCTTTGTACAAATTGTTTGTAAATCATTTATTTTGAAACCAATTTTTAGCCTAAAAATATCCTTCAGCCTCGGGGTTGTATTTATTTAATAATTGATAAGAGTGTTTTTGTGAATAAAATTACATTTGATAAATTTACTGATTATATAGTAAAAGTAATAGTCAAATTTTTAGTCCCTACTCTTAATAAATTTACCAAATTTTATATTTTCAATAATAACCTCAAAATATATTTAGAACATAAATTCCCTCTCTCCGCCCCCCCCCAATTTTGGTAGCACATCTGACACCTCCCGAAGAATATTTACCTTGTTTCCACTTTAAATATTCCAAATTAGTTTTGTCGCGAAAATATAAAAAATAAATGTTCGATTAATTTTGTCGAGAGTTAGACTAATAAGATTACGTATGAGATATAATATATGAATTGAAAGCGTGAATCCTCCAATATAACATGCGTGAGTTTTATAACATAATATTATCTACTAGCATTCTTTAACATTCTATCACGTCTGAGCACCAGGGGTAGATCGGACCGGGTTACGTAAAACCATCTACAATACTAAATTATTCACAATTTTTTATTTGATTATAAAATTTGAGACTTTTGATATTTCTCATAACTTTTATTAATAAAATTTTTAAAAAAATAAGATCCTTGTCCTACATACCCTTTTACGTCCAATCAGGGGTTCGAACCGAACCAGAACCCGGAAAAGAAAATCCGGGTTTTGGGAAAAAAATTTGAACCCGAACCGAACCTGAATCCCGTTTATAAAATTTTCAAAACCCCGGACCGAACTCGCCGGGATCAACCGGGTTCAGTGTATTGTTTAAATTAATATAAGATATTTGTATAATTTTAAATACAAATATTAATCATTTACTTGACATTATATAATATTTCCAAATTTCTAATTAAGTGAAGTGTTAATAAATTTTAAACAACTTAATTTATTTACTTCAATTTTAAATTTTTTTAAATTTATTCTCAAAGATTCCTATTGGGTTGTTAATAAATTTTAAACTAGAGGAAAATGAAAGTGAACAAGTCAAAGTAAAAATTATTATATTGGATATTGTTAATTTAAAGAAATACGTCTAAATAAAATTTTTTAAATCCATACATGACTATGTTTTGTATTTTTAACTATATTTTCCCTATAAATAAAATAAAAAATTTATTTTTTATACTAAAAATTTATGTCTAGTTTTTTTTAATTATGATTTAAATATACAATTTTATTTTTTATCAATTCAAAAATTCTTAAACCCGAGCTGAACCCGGAACCAAACTCGGGTTCAAAAATATTTCCCTGAACCGAACCCACCCATTTTTTTAACCCTAAACCTAACCAGGGCAAAAATTTTGCCGTTCGCATCCATGGGTCCAATGTTCCTTGAGTTTTTATTGAAAAATTAATAAAAAATAAAATAAAGAGCTAGAAGTAGCTGGCAATATATTTTTGTTAAGGGGGGAGGAATAACCCAGGGGTGATACCTTTTAAAGTTAGCATCAATTTACACATTTAATATTATTTTATATTTTAAGTCACCAAGGGTGCGTCATTGTCTTGGGGGAGGGCTAGAGGAATATACCCCTTACCAATCAACCTAGTTTCGGTAGAACATATATCTAACCTTGCCTATGGGATAACCAAGAAGGGTGGGGGGGGGGGGGGTTAAGAAATCTCACCTTCTTCAAAAAATTTCCAGCTTCCGTCTTATATCAATGAAAACTAGTAAAATTATCTCCCTACACTTTTCTAGTACTCCTCTCCTAAAATAATGGGTATACAATGTTATTTATTCTAAGCAAAAAAAAATTAAATAAGTATAAATTGATAATTTTGTAAGCAATGAGCATAACTCATATGTGTAATACATAGAGTTAACGGTTGTTACCGCGGTTTCGACAGAACCATGACGATTTAGTTTTTAGAATCAGTCCCTTTGTTTGAGATTTACAATCAGTTCGGTAATTATAACTTTTTTATTATATGTATTATATTAACCTTTTAAAATTATCAAATTAAATAAAACCTTCAATCAACTTTAATTCCATATCAACAACTATTTTCAAAGCAGGCTACTTTGTAACAAATAAAAAAAAGATCCACAAGCTTGGGATATCTAATGAACTCTAATCATAAAGGTGATCTTATTATTCTAATATTGTTACCAAAGGCGTCAAAGACTTTGTAAACTTTTTAGGGGGGCGGGCTAAAAGCTAAGTTTTTAATTAATGTGCTAAATTATTTATAAAAAATACTCAATTTTTTATTCTGCATATGTATACTAATAAATGTTTTAGCAATTTAAGTTCTTCTAAAAAAAATTTAATAACCGTAGGGGTCCTGAATGATAAAAAATTTTAGGGATAAAAATTTTAATTTTAAGGGCGCTAAAATATCCCTTTGTTCTCTTCTGATGACAATGATTGTTAATAGTCCTATTCAAAATGACTACAAATAAAATAATTTGGTATTCATATTCCACGAATAGTAAATTATTCAAAAGAATCGAATACGGGTTCCTTATTCGATGCGCTGATCATAGCCCGACTCGGTCTTCATATGTGGTCAACAGTAGGCTTGGTGTTTACAATGTGATAGATGTTTTAGTTAGTTCTTTGAAAATCGATTTCAGAAAATTTTTAAAAGTAATTAAAATCTATGGCGAAAAAAAAACAACCCAAACGTCCCCTTTCCTTTAAGAAAATCCTAGACACGATTATGAACTATGGCCATATCATGCAAAATGATGCTAATTATAACTTTCTTGTCCAACACCATTATTTTTTATTGTTTAATTATCTTTTTTTAAATATCGCATTTTTAAAGTTTTTAGATAGTAGGGTATAGTTATATCCATTTCTGTATGATTACCTATTACTTTATACCCAATCACACTTTCGTTATAATCATGTTTAAAAATATAATAAATATTAAAAAAACTAATAAAAAAATCTAAAAATTAAATTATTTTACAAATAAATTGGCATTTTCTTTTATATTATAATTTTTTTTATGAATAGATTTTTATTTTATAGCCTCCCCCCTTCTTTACGAAATTAAAACTCTTTTTCTTGAAAAAAAAAACAAACTTTTAATTACCATTTTTTTAAGTTAAGAGAAGATTTTGTTGAACTTAAAATAATTTCTTATAAAATTTACATAACTAACCACCGCAAATAAGAACTCCCAAATAATATTTTAAAATATATTTCATTCATGTCCATTCAAAATAATTCGACTAAGGTAAAGGTGTATATCTAAGATGGAGAGGGGGGGAGGCCCCCATCTCAAATTTGTCTGTTCTCTTAAATGTCATTTTATGTTAATATAAATTTCCCCCTGCACCCCCCCCCCTCTAATATACATACAATATATTACTAAAAGAAGATTGGGAAGAAAAATTAGCAAAAGTTAATAACGACTATAAATTCAAAATTTCTAAGAAAAAAAAAAATTTTTATATAAATAAGATCAGTGAAAATCCAAATTATTTTTATAAAAATATAATATAGCCAAGGGCCTACAATATCTACTAAAATTTAGTGCTCCTACTTCCTAACCAAATACTTGGCTACCCCTATGGGTAATACTACAAATGAAGTCTCTTTGAAGACATATATATATTATTAAAGTCCTGCGAGGTATATCTATTCAGGTCCATTCCGGCTCTGTCTTTATTTTAATAATAGGACCAATTCTGTCAAAAAGAGACTGAAGAAAATTTTGATTTTTTGAAGAAAGGGACTAAAATTATAAGTGCTAGTAAAAAAAATATAATTATAAATTGGTAATTTTTTTAAAAAAGTGTTAATGAAAATTTTGGGGGAAAACAAAATTATATCGAGATCTAAGTCCCGCCCTGAAATCAAGTATCCGGTCAGAACGTTGTCAATTCAAATGACCACATTTTATTTTGGCAGAAAAAATTTATAACCCGCAAATTAATTCAGATATTTTTTTAAATTAGCCTTGTTGCATTTGAAAATTAAATACATTCCAGAAATAATATACAATGGAATTATTTATAATAGCTTCTTCTCGTTGAAGATTTTAAATTCCACATTGTTTCTTAACATTGAATTGCAAAAAAAAAGATTAATTTTAGGAAATAGTAGGTTAAATTTGAAAGACAAAGGGAGATTACCGATTTGTGATTTAACAATTAATATCCTATTTTTCTATTCATTTTAAATTATCTCCGGTAAAGAAAACTTTTTTCTCAAAATAATAATTAGCCTATAAATTTCTAATAATAAAATTTAAAAAGGATTCAAATTTTTAACTCTATTTCGCGAATTTTAATAATACAAATTTCCTATTTTCAAGGGATCTGAACTTTTCCCGGTTCAAAAATTTCCCAAATTTGATGGGTAGTCCACAAATCTTCCCTCCATATTTTGACTGTGTCTCAAAAAAAAATATCTCATGTCTCAACCCATATTCAGATTCAAGCTTTGTAAAAATCAACTAAC